TCACTCACAATCAATCAATCAAACCCCTTTTTTGAAGTTTTTTCTTTATTTATTTTCAAATTTTGCATCTGCATTTTTTTTAAACACCTCATACCCATACAAAAAACAGAAATTCATTACTAAAAAATACAGGTGAACTCAGGGACCATATATCTCATGATAAGAAATGACCAAAAAAAAATCCAGCTTTTCTTTATTATTTTTTTTTTAATTTTCTTTAAATCGAATTTAGTTTTTGATTTTAAAAAAATTCTAAACAAAGTCGGATTCCAAAAAAACAAATATGGGGTTGTAGGGCTTGAAATTCCCTACAACCCCATATATATATATATATATATTTTAACCTATTATTTAATTGAGGAAAATTCTGGTAAAATCGGGTCCGCGGAGCGGACAAGGTCGGCCACGGACGCGGCCTCATCTGCGTCCACCGTCCGAGATCGGACCCGCGGACACGTCCGCGGGTGTTTCATAGCCGCAAGGTACGCCTGTATCTTCTTCCACTGATCGAAGTGGTATGAACTCTCGTTCCAGATCTCAGCAAACATGTCCAACGTGGCTTCGGGGCAGTTATTCTTGATTGTGTGACTGCCGACAAATTCCTGGTCACACAACTTGCACTTGATAACGAAATTGCCATTGCGGTTTGGCAGCGCCAGGCCCTTTTGCATCCATTTGAAGCCAACGAACTTCAGTTCCGCTTCTCTCTGCCTCTCTCGGTTCACAGGGATGAAATCCCTGTGAGGCCCCCGACGCTTGGGCACCATCTTCAACATCCCTGCGGTCGAATCGTCGTTCCTGGAACCCCGAGCGGCCCCCACGAGTCCCGATGAGCCCCTGGGTGGTCCAACAGGCAGGCCTGAAGGGCCTTCGCTGCCCCGGGCCTGGTGGTGCAGGTCTTGGCGTCACACCTCTTGCGTATCGGCCCGTCCTAGGTTATAATAGCTGCCATACCTCCATTTCAAAGATCTCCACCGTTGCCACGTAGCGGGGACATTGTGGTGGATACAGAAGGTTGGGGTCGGGGCGAGATTGGAGCAGCACGTTTGGACAGTTCTGGACCACCGCAGCATGGTGCATCGACACAGCGTGGTGGACGTTCGGAGACCACCGCAGCGGGGGCACGTGCGCCGACCCCTTCAACAACTGTCGATCCGCCTCCGTCTCACCCACCTGAGAGAGGAACGGCGGGCCGCATCTTGCACGAGGATGTTAGAGACAGGACACCACGCCCTGTTGCGCCTGCACTTGAACCGTATTCCATGGGGACGGACGGTTTGGAGATGCCAGTGGGACAGCGGAGGAGGAAAAATGTCCATCACATTCAGCTCAGAGACATGGTAAGGGTCGTGGTGGATGAGAGAGAGAGAGAGAGAGAGAGAGAGAGAGAGAGAGAGAGAGAGAGAGAGAGAGAGAGAGAGAGTGAGTTGTACGGGCACAAGAGGCCGCTCGTGCAGCGTCCGGCCAGACCAGCAGGGTGGGCGATGGTGTAGTCGTTGCCCGAACGAGGACGAGGGCGGATGTCGTTGACGACAATGACGATTAGCTGTTTGTCTATTTACGACTTTGTTTTAGTCTGTATATGTTGTGTCGCGGTTTTCCTTCTTGGACTTAGGACTTTTCATTTCAGTCGCATGCACTGCTTTGCGCAGACATTGAGTTGCACATAGGCAGTGTCAGCCAACTGAGATAGTGAGCTGGATCCTCCCGGTTGGTATTAGTAGGGTCTTCAGCCAACATGGGTGTGAGTGCAAGTGTGACTGGGTTGCGTGTCGTGTGTTGGCATGTTGGCTGTAGACACTGTTGTTGCTCAATGGGGGTGGGCGAAGATGAAAAGGGAGTTGCAGTTACTGGCAAATGCTTGGCCCTTGCGTTAGCCGGGCCCCCACCGGCAGCCTCAACCCACTACCCTAGGGCCTAGACCACTAAGGCAAGGGGCAAACATGCAATTACGTCCCTCCACCAAGAGAGTTAACCCCCCTTCACCGAAGAGAGGTAGATAATAGATATCTATGCTTGCAGGGGTCCCCTGTATAGCCTTAGGAGTAGTGGTATGTAGGTAGTGAAAGATAAAAAAAAATATGTCCCCATGACATGGCTGAAGCCAGTTAAAAATTGTGAGATAATGGAGATACCCTCGATGAGGACAAAACAACTTAAAAAAAAAAAAAAAACAAAAAAAAAAACCTTGCGATGGGCGAAAGACGGCTGGGAATCCTTCACAAATAACCCCGTGAAAGTACTGGGGCCAATGCCCATCTTAGGCTTCTGGAAATCGGGTCCAGTGTTCCATTGATGTAAATCACTCCCAGAGCGAAAGAAAAAGGTGGGGCCAACTCCCCCAAAAACACAAGCTTCGAAAAGGACACAGGTTTGAGCCTAGCTCAAGACTATCAGTTCCCACTAGAGGGTACAGTGGGTGGCTACGGCGCTCCCCAAACCCCGGTGGGGAAAACAACTAATGCCGCTCCCCATGTCTTAAAAAATCATTTCCTGACCGAGGCTGTGTTAGTGTTGTTCTGTTTGTGTCTGATCCAGTCACTGATGATGGTGTGGCGAATGTTCCAAGTGATATGTGTTTTGATGGCAACGTCTGACATCATGTCTTCCTTGCGGACGAGCTGATTATTGCGAGCATCCCAAATTGCCTGCATTAGAATTCACCTGATCGTTTGTGCACCGTACAACCAATTCTCTTCCTCGAGTTTTGTTCTATGTTTACAATCGAAATGAGGTTATTGCATACATTCCGAGAGAAGGCCATAGTATACAAGAGCACTCTGTTGTTATGGTTCGAGGAGATAGGGTCAAAGAAAACACCCATTTGTCTGACCAGTCAAAAGTACACCTGGTGATGTCCTTCCGGTCTCTGCTAAACCAGTCCCTGAGTCTCCAAGAAGCTTAACAGGTTAACCAGAGTTGTCAAGCACTCTCCCATGTCCACTAACATTGCACACACTTTACCGCTCCCATGTCCACTAACATCGCACACTTAACCGCTCCCATGTCCACTAACATCGCACACACTTTACCGCTCCCATGTCCACTAACATCGCACACACTTTACCGAAATCTCCATCCTCTCTGAACCAGATTGACGACCGAGGCGGAGACTGAAAGTGGAGCCGGAGCAGGCTGGCAGTCTTCTGAGATGGTAAGCTTCTGAGATTGCACAGACGAGGAAATCTGCAGAGATGAAAGGGTCAGCAGGTCATGTTCCTGTCTTCTTCTCTGTATCGCCGACAGGCATGGCTGTTTCTTAACCGTTGGATCTGAGAAGGATGGTTCTAATCTTCTAAGAATATTTGTCTGAAACAGTCCAATAACATTTTGTCTTATGACCCACCGCACAACCAATCCATCTAAAATCTGCAGCCGCGCTTTCTTACTCGGGTGATTCTCATCGGAAGAGACGTGCAATGTATAACAAGGCACCCCCCTGCACTACCTTCTTTCCCCGAATATACAACGTACGGTCATTGCAGTTGCTTTTAGAGTGAAAAGATACCCCAAATACAGCTACAATGACCACACATTGTATTCGGGGGAAGAAGGTAGCTCGTCTAGTTTTGAGCTGTATTGCTACTTCAGTGAGGCCAGCCAGAGATTTGCAGTCTGACTGGGCTCTGAAAAGTTTTTTTTTTTTTTTTTTTTTTTTTTTTT